GCAGTGAAGCTGCTGAATGGCAAAGCTCGCTTGCCCGATTGCATCCTGGCCGCCAGCGTGGGCATTGGTTCCGGCACCATCCAACTCGGCATCGAAGTTCTCAAGCTCTCAAGCCCACCGGCCCAAGAGATGACGACACCAGGCTGGCGCAGGGCTCCTTGTGATCTTCTTCGTCAGCCAACAACTTTTTGCGTTTCGACTGGCCCAGAAGTGTTTCATTGCGGTGCGGCTAAGTTGCAGGCGGTCGTGAAAGTCTTGTCGTTTTCGTTTTGAGGGTCTTGTAATATAGGGGCCTTAATAATTAGAATCGAGTTTGGGGGATATTATATTGTAATTATAGTAAGGACCCCCCCCAAAAAAAAAACCCTATTATCAATATTGAGGTCCCTACATTATTTGTTCCGAGGTTCCAGAGTTGAAAGTTCGGAGGACTGCGTACTGTGGGGAAGTCGGGTTGAAGTAGCCACAGTAATACTTGAAGGATCATGGGACTTAGTAATTAGGCTTGTGATTACGTAGGGTAACTCTACTTTATAGCCCAATTAAGGTACTTATAACCTTACTTACTAAGTCCCATGATCCTCCAAGTACTGAAGCCCTGGCAAGATGCGACGAACCCCGGAACTAAAATGGAGCTTAAACCCGAAACCTGATACCCCAAAACCACGCGCATCACGGCAAGGAGGCGACCCGACCCATCGCCCCTGCGCAGGTCGAGGTGGCCAAGACTTGTGTTCGATTTTGATTCGGAGCTCTTTCATGGCTTTGCATGGTTACGTGCAGAGAAGCTCCGACAGCCCGAAACCCTAGCCCCAAACGGATTGTTCCAAAATCGATTAGTCAGCTTTTGTGCGGGCCTTGGAGGGCTTGAAATCGACCCAGATGATGCTTGTGAGGTTGATGCGGCCTTGGCATTTTTTGGGGGAGGAGTATGAGTAGGATGTTGTCATGATGAGCTCACGAGGAGGCGATGATCGTGAGGATAAGTTGAGTATATTAGCAACCTAGAGTCCTAGAGCTTTGGATCGTGGTTGTTGCCGCAATGATGCGATCACATGGACGGCATCGGCGGCAGCGAGAGTCTGAGACTGTTGGTGGTGATGATGATGAAGAGGAGGAGGACGAGGAGGACCTCCGCGTGGAGAAGAGGAGCGATGGTGGTGAAGAGGAAAGGGGGCGGCAGCCATGCAGGATCATGACCATACTCTCTGTCAACGACTCCATCACCATTACCGCCATGATGCCCTTCAGTCTTGACTGTGATGCTAGAGCCTGTCCACACCCTGTAGACACCTCTGTTTGCATCTCTACTCTCAACCCCCTTACACATACTCGCGACCCTACACCCGCAACCCTAACTAAAATCTTGGGCCTGCAGAAAAAGCCTGACACTATAAACTATAAACCTCAGAACCCTTTAATCCCTGCAAAACAAGAGTCAACAAACCTCAAAACAAAACGACGCATAGAAACCTGGTAACAAGACGCAAAAGCCGCTTACGAACCCCACCTCTAGAACTCTTGCAGAACCCTTAAGAAGCCTAAAGAGCCAGAACCCTTAAGAAGCTTAAAGAACCAATATCCAGCCACGTGACAGGTTCTGGCCGCCAGGCAGATGAAGCAAAATGGCGGACTCTGCCTTTTCAACTGTGCCACCTCCCTCGCTTGGGTAGTGTAGTGGGCTTGGACTTCAGGGGTTACCTTAACTGCCGAAGCCTTTGATGTTTCAGGGCGGATTTTTAGAAATCCCTCAGAAAAGGCAGGGTTTCGGGTGTTAGGGTAGGGTTTTTAAAAGGGTTTAGGGATCAGGATGTTCAGGCCGTGTTTGGGTTTAGGTTTACAGGGTGCTACAGATTACCTAGGCGCCTTTGCAAGATCCAGAACACTCAGAGTTCTGAAGCTGGGAACCCAGACCTTCCAAAATCCCTTAATTAAGGAATATACCTTAAATTATAGTAGGATCCCAAATATGAATTAAGGTATATTCCTTAATTAAGGGATTTTGGAAGGTCTGGGAACCTTCCGAGTTTGGTAGCAACTGCTCTTTGACCGCTTTGGGTGCCTGTGCAATGTAGACCCCTGATGAGTAACTTCCCTGACGTTAAAGGCCTAGGTAGAGGGGTGGTATTTATCAGGGGTCTAGCTACCCAAAAACCTCAGCCTCTTTCAGAGCAGGGAATTCGGCAGGTAGGCTTCGCCGTGTGTTCTTGGAGCCCCTCAGGTAAGTGCAAAAGGGCCTGAAAGATGGCAGTAGTCCTTAGGGTTCCTTGTGGAGGTCTAGTAATTATACCCCAACATCCGAGTCGAATTATTAAGGCCTCCATATCAGTGTTAAGGGGGTTGGGAGACGCGTGTCGCGACGCTGGAGACAAGCGTCATCCGGTTGCAGCAGTTGAGTGCCTGCAGCAGGCCATTCAAGCTCCCCGAGCTCCTCCTCCAGCCGAGTCGCAACGCGGCAAGTCGCCGCAAGGCACCGCACAGACGCCACAATGCATCAGTGTGGAGTGAAGCCTCTCCCTCCAGAGCCTGCAGGACAAGAAGCAGCGTTAGGGGATATACAACAGTTACAGCGTTACCCACCCGAGAGCGATGCCTGACCCCATCGTATTGATTGGGAAGAGTTAGAGTCCAGTCCTCGGAATCTGGAACGGCTGCAAGGTTTTGGGAGTGGCGGTGTGCGCGGTGGTTCCTACCCGAGCTCCGCGGAGACTTCATGGCGGCGCAAAAACGCCCAAAACCCCAGCGATCCAAGAAGAAGTCTGCGAGAAGGCTCCCCTCTAGGCTGAGGCACTCCCAGGAGCAGCCGACGGGCAAACTGCTGGAGCTCAGACAGGAGGCCGTAGCGGAAGCGAAGGCCAGAGCTCAGAGGGAGGCCGCAGCGGCGGCCAGACATGGCCCGACAAGACGGAGGCATCGGCAAGACTGGGAGCAGCCCGATGCTCCGAGGTGCGAATCCTCGAACGCCCACAAACTAAAATCTTGAATCAATCATAGCTTTAAGCCTCTCGAACCCCCAGCCCATGCACCTTTACCCAATATCGCATACATCAACAGCTGATTAATATTCTGAATAATAACCCACTTTACATAAAGAGGGATTATGGTAGGGATCCTAGCATAACGACCCTTAAAGAGAGATGGTTCATGAGTCAGCGGTCCACATTCAGACCCCTAAGCCCTAAAACCTTACCGCTCTAAACCTTGCAGAACCCCAAAAGATCCTAACAAAGCATAAACCCAGGACTCTACAGCACAAGCCATCCTAATCCCGAAACCGCAAAGCCCTAGCCTAGAACCCTGAAGCCCTAAAGCCGTAAAGCATTAAATGCCCTGGACCTCTAAACTCCCGAAGCCCTCGAGAGCCCACAGCCCCAAACCTAGAACCTTAAAGTTTTTTCTGCGATGTATATATATATATGTATATATATATATATGTATGTGTATGTGTATACCTATATATATATATATATGCATATCTACATGTAGATAGTTAGTGACGATTAGTTATATAGTTAGTGCCTCTTGGGTCCAGATCATAGATTCCCTAAGCCCTACACCCTAAACCCTGAATCCCTCAAGCCCTAAACCCGAAACCCTATGGGAGGTTCCGAAAATTAGGGGTACCTTATTTGTGGGTCCTTGTCCTAAGGATCCTACTGTTTATGGTACTATGTATTGGGGTCCCCCATTTTCGGAAACTCCCCCATAGATTGCAAGTACCATAAACCCCCTAAACCCTAAACCCTAAACCGTAAACCGTATCATAAACCAAAGCTGGCCAGGCTGCCTTGGTGCGGACCGGGCTCTCAGTTTCTCAAAGTGGGGCTCCGTTTGGGGCAAGCAGAACCTTGAGCGTTTAGGGTTTGGAGGGTCTAGGGCCAGAGTCTAGGGGTTTAGTGTTTAGGGTTTCTTTAGGGAAGTAGAATGTTGAGAGTTTAGGTTTAGGGGTTTAGAGTTTATCTAAGCCTACCTTCCCCATTCTGTGAAGTTGATCGGTTTGTCATGCTTTCGGCTATGAATTCTACAGGCAGCTACTCGCAGACTGAAAGAATCAGCAGCATGATTGCACGGCTCACTCGTCGTCTTTTTTCTTGTCGTGGGCACGGCAGCTCCCCCTGCACATGATGCGAGCAGAAACCTCGCACGAGCACCAGATTTCTTGAATCATTAGCGGAGTATCAAATGTTGGTTAGCACCGTGTGAACATGAGGGTGATCTAGTGCGTGCGAGGCTTTTTGCAGGCCGGTTCTCTCACCTGCAACAACCCCTGTCTCTCTTCTGCAGAGAGGCTTTCATACCATTCAAGGGACCAGGCTCTAAGGCAGGAAAGGGCCTGATCTTTCGAGCGAGTCGCCGATTTCGGGCCTCGGACACCGCCTGCATCCATATACGACACACATCTGCTCTTTTTGGAGCGGTGCTTGAAACCTGCTGGCAAGTAACACTGTACAAATGGACTCTGGCCCACCGGATTGCCGTAGTACACAACACACCCTGGAGCGACTTCGCCCTCGGGAACTCCACGGGGAACATGCGGTACATGCGGACCTTTGGCACGAGGAGCGCCCTCCTGAGAAGAAACATTGGGGCAAGCTAAAGACACCACTGGAAGACACAGGACATGGACTTCAGACGTCGGGACTTGAGGGACAGAGAAACTCAGCATTCCGGACTGAATGACAGCTCAGCGTCGTGAGATTCCTTCCCGGCCTCGTCTGCTCCATTGGCTCCTTCGGCCATCGGAACATCGTGGCTCACAGTCTTTGGCTCATCCGGGTTTTGCTCATCCGGCTTTAGCTCATCCGGCTTTGGCTCATCGGAACCCTGCTTGGCATCATCATCTGCTGATGGATCCTCTGCCATTTCCTCCAAAAGCTCTTCCTCTTCCTCGTCGGAAGTCTGGCCCTCCAAATGCTCATCCTCCTGGTCTTTGTTTGGGTCCTGCAAAAATGGGCGGAAAGGAGGATTTTGGAGGTGGTTTCCCTATCGCTGCAACTTGTTCATGAAGGGAGGGTTTGCGATGTCCCTCTGTCCTCGTTGCGTTTTTTGCGCGGGCAGCTGTCAGGGATTTCCTCCAGGATGTTCTGGATCTCTTGTTCGGACTTGCCCATTTTGAGGAGGAACAGATGAACCCGAGCCTTGTAGTCCATCTTGCCGTGTTTCAGGCCCAGCTCTGTGCATACAGCCGCAAGCAAACCGCGAGGGATGGTCAAGATAGACACATCAGCAACATACTGCTGCAATGTCATCCATGCGGAAGTTTGCCGCCATCCCAACTGATCGTGAGCGATGACAGGGCTGGTCTGGGAGATGACCACCTCCGTGATGTCCGTCACCGCCTTCCCCAAACGAGGAACCTTCATCTCCTTGAAGCTGAACACATCGTCATCTGAGTCACCGAACTTCACGAGCGGGAGCACTCGCAAACAATGTGGCCCTGCACGAAGAACCAGAAAGCGTGTGTCAACTTCTTCTCCCTTTTTCCAAGACACGAACACATGCTCCGGCACGAGCTTGCAAATCCACAAGGACTTGAAAAGCTCTTGGACCATATCCAAGCGGTCCTGTCCATCCCGCACATCTGCGATTTGCTCGTGATACTCATGAGCTAACAGCCTCATGAGATCCAGCCGCTGGCTCAGGATGTGCGGCTTCGTGTAGTGCTTGGAGGACCGGTGCTTCGTAAGGCCCTCGCTTGAAATTCCAAGCTCCACATCCGTTGCCTTCAAGATGCTGTGAACCCGGCTTTTGACATACTTGTGCGACAAAGGAGTTGACCAGTCTTCTGCAGTGAGGCTGAGGGCCTGCCCTCCAGCAGGGCGGCGTGAACTACTTTTCTGAGCGATGGCATGGATGTTCTGCGGCACCGTCTTTTCAGCTTTGGCATGCCTCCTGCCACTGTCCCTCAAGTCGTTGAAAGTCAGCTCGCACGGCAAGCTGGAAAGCACACTGTCCGTCTTCTCGCCTGTCATGCCTGCCACCACACGGCAAACCTCAGTGAAGGGGAGGCCACATTCTTCATCCATGGCCTCCGGCCGGAAGCTCATCGTCCTGGGATGGTGTGGATTGTTGCATCCGAGTGTGTTTCGCGGGCCGGGGCAAAAACCCTAAACCCTCAAACCCTAAACCCTAAACCCTCAACCTAAACTCCTAAACCCTAAACCCCTAAACCCTACACTCCTAAACCCTAAACCCCTAAACCCTAAACCGTGCATACGGACAGAATACTCGGCTTTGATCATCACATCACGGTAGGCTTGGTAGCGGGTGAAGGAGAAGAGCCAGTAGAGCTCGTGCTGAGAAGGCAGCTTGTCAATGCAGTCTCGCACAAACTCCCACTCCATTCTCATGCTCTGAAGGGTTGCTGCCTTGGAGGACTCGTGAAGGCATGCAATAGATGCCCAGGGAAAAGAACGATAGACAGCATCGAGATCACACAGGGCATCGATCTGGAACAGGAAAAGCTTCGCCACCCATTCGAGGGATTCCTCGTCGCTTGTGGCTCCACAGTAGACCAGGCCACTCCCCTTCGCAGCATTCTCAAAAGTCTTCCTCAGAGTTACTAGCAACATCATGGTAGGGATCCCACAAAAGTCCTGAGGGAACAGACGGACTACAAAGGTTTCTGTTGTGTCGTAGCCCCAGGGGCACGATCAACTTGCCAACTTTTTTGCCCGTCGCCAAAGAGATGTAGTGGCGGATGGAGGCGGAGCCACTGTTCTGAAAATCTCTTGCCTCAGGCTTGATCTTTTGTTTGAAGTTTGGCTCATGCTGCCACATACCCAAACAACATGGAGATACTTGGGGGGTAGCCCTCCAATGTTCGGATCAGGCACACAGTCGGCCACGTAAATTCGGAGCGCTTTGAAAACCACGATGAAAGCACGTGTCTTGTCCTGATTGGTGTCGTCAGCAAGCACCTGGGCGAATGATAGTATCTCTACTTTTCAACAAAAAGGCCCTATTGTATGATATCCTGCAAAAGGGCTGCAACAACCGGGGAGCGAACATGCCAGGCTGCCACACGAGCCGAGAAGTTGTCTTCGCTTGCATCTCCAGTGCGATTCAAACCCCATGGATTCTTCCCCTCGACGAAGAGGGAGAAACAGTGTGCCATGGCCTCGGTATGCCAGCATTTGTCTAATGCGACGGCATAATCGTAAAAGCTGAACCATCGTACGTCCTTCGCTGTGTCAGCTCGCAAGTGCATGACACCTGCGAGCTGGGGCTAACTCACAACTGCACATGCATCATGCTGCTAACGAGTGTTTTCCAAGAATGGCCTTTGCGTTTCTCCAGCAGAGCCACGGCGTGCGTGCCGGAGAAGTCCGAGGAGACGGGGCCTCCGACATTGCACCATCCAGCCTCATCCTTCGCCATACCGGTGAGCCAGAGCTGAACGAAGTCTGAATTCGGATCCTCCTTGAGCAACCGCAGCAAGTGATCCCTGGCCTCTGCCACGGTGCGACCAAAGCGACTGCTTTTGAAGGGGCCCCGTGAAAAGCGAAATAGAGTCATCAGTCGACGGAGGAATTGGGGTCCTTCTTCTAGTCGGCGTATGGCGGAGCCCGCCTTTCGGGCGGCTTTGTGAAACAAGTCTGGCCAGAAAACTGCCCAGAGGTTCTGGGAGCACAGGTGTTGCCAGCCAACGAATCCCTGGGGTGTCCGATTCAACCGAACGTGGGATCAAGTCAACCCGCTACTTAAAACAGCTACATACGTGTTCTATGTGTCGCCTTCCTGCCTCCGTCCCTTCGTCCGCCCCAAACACGAGACGGACAAAGTCCTCGTGAACATAGAAGTCTTGGCGTCCTTCAGATGCTTCAGGATCCCACACAAAGTAGACCTTGGCGTCCTGGGCAAGCTTCGGGTTCAGGAGCGACTTCTCAACCTCCTCGAAGGGCAACCGATCACAGCCACGTGCAGCGGGCAGCAGGGGGTTCGGCGGGATGCATCCCTGGAGGGTCCAGCCTGCAGGCATCGCCTGCTGTAAACTGTTTGCTAAGCCAGACAGCAAGTGCTTCGTGGGCGTGCGAAATTCTCGAAAAGAATGTGCATCCTTGGGCAAAGCGAACCTGGACTTCGCATTGTCTGGGAGGACACCTTCCAAGCAACTTGACAATGCAACTGCTGCTGCCACTGCCTCCGTCTTGCTGCAAGTGTTCACAGGCAGGAGCTGCGTTGCTCCAGCGAAATGAAGACCGTCCATCCGGTAGACGACCGACAAGACCTGCGACCGACTTTAATAATGGCAGTTCACAGTGGCCGGCAGGTTGGTTTTTGAACTGTATTGGGTTGCTCTCTCTCCGTCTCTTCCTGTCTCGCTCCTGTTCTGTTTCTCAGCGCTTGTGGAAGGAAACATGTCTTCCTCTATGAGTATCACGTTTCTTTCTCTCAGGTCTTACCTTGTATTTGCTCTGCGTTTATGTTTCTCTATCTGTCTCTTTATCTCTTTAATTCTTTATCTCTTTATCTATTTATCTCTCTATCTCTAGCTCTCCAGCTCTAGCTCTGTCTCTATCTCCGTCTCTCTCTCTCTCTCTCTCTCTCTCTCTCTCTCTCTCTCTATCTCTCCCTATCTCTCTCTGTCTCTCTTGCATTGTAAACTTTTTTTGATGCGATCTCACAACTCAGGCTGAGGGCTTGGTTCAAGGTGAAGGCTTGCAAGGTTCAAGGTTTAGGGTAGGGGCCTGGTTTTCAGCCTCGGGTTTACTCATGATTTCAGTGGCTTAGGCGTCAGGCCTGCTCGCCAGCAAACGACGTCGCGTCGAAGCAGAAGTTCAAGCACCGAAGGCGTTGTCTCTGGAGGCAATCGCTCACCGTGGCCTCCGCCTTCAACAGAAGGCGTCCAACGTACTCCGAAGATGTGCGGTCGGCCAGGGTGCTCTTTGCATCTACGACACCTAAGTCACCCAAGCTCTTCTCGTCTTTCATGGAAATATACCCAGCACCTCTGCACAAGAAGCGGCTCACCATGTGCATGCGAAGTGTTTTGTTGCCTCTGCGTCGGGAGCTCTTCATGAAAGGATGGTACTTGGTTGCCAGCGTCGGGTCCGGGCAGTCTACGACGACACATCGTTCCAGTGTCAGCTCAGCCTCCTGTGCCCAGATGTGAGCTGCCCGCTTGGTTAAGCGGCGAAAGCCCAAAGAATTGCAGAACTCGGGGTCTCCCTTCAAACGAAAGGATGTGGTCAAGAACACACTGAAAGGCATCATGATGCCGATGGTGCTGCCAGTCATTCGTTTCGCAAACCTGCAGGACAAGCAGAGGCCACAGCGGCGCTGACACTCACAACATGCAAACATGCGGGAGACCTACCTCGACCAACTCAGGCCAAGGTCGGAGAGGATGGCTTTGATCTGTTCCACTGGCAGCTTGTTCTCGCGAACATCAACTTTGAAAGTTTGTGCAAAGGGCAGCAGCTGCACAGACTGGTTCATGTTCATGTGCTGCTCGAGCCTCTCCATAAACGACACAGATTCGGCCACTCCCTCTGGCCCGAAACTCGCAGTAGGCAACAGCGTCGCCAGCAGGACGAGGATGCCCGGCACGGTGCAGGCATCCACCGGCAGGCATGTCAGATCCTTGACTTGACCCTTGTAAGTTGTTCGCCGGGCAACCTGGGCGTAGACAAAAGTGACTGGGTAACCTCTATCTGTGCAGATGCCGCGGCAATTCACAAAGCAGCAGACAAAACAACAGAGCAGCGAACATGGCCACCACCGATCTCTAGCATGTGTGCAAGCGGCAAGAAGTTTCCCGAGTAGTTCTTTGTAAACCATTGCGTAAATGGGGTTTTGAAGCGGTACCACTCGGCCACAGCGATGAAGTGTCTGTACCCTTCGACAGCAGAAGCTTCGTCCACCTGGCACAGTACAAAGGCCAGGTTTACGAAAAGAACATCCACGGACTATGAACAAGGCAGACGCAAACTCTGGAAACCAATCCCGCTTGTGCCTGCAGCACAGTCCAGACTCCCGTGACGTTGGGAAGAAAACGAAAAACATGTGGAAGGGAACGTTTCTCGTCCTCCACACCTTTCGGTAGCTCGTCAGGCTCATTCTCAGACGGGCCTTGCACTGCACTTGGAATCCAAGGCTTCGGGGCGAAAGGAGTCTCGGAGCCGTACATCTCTATGAGGGAACATATCTGGCTCTCGAAGCGGTCACTGGCTGATCTACGATCAGCCTCGGAGCCTTCAAAGCTCCCCGGCATGAACGATTGCCGTCGGAGAGCAATCGCTCTGCGAACTTCCAGCAAGGCTGTGCTGCTGTCGGACTCTGCAGCTTCCAGAGGAAGCGTCTGTAGCAACTTCTTGACACCGCTCAACCAGGCCTGGCAGCAGCACAGCCTAAAGACACGACCACTGCATCCCGTAAACCGAAGGAGACTTTCCTAGTCTGACTGCTTCAATGCATCATAAGCCGCGGCGGCGTGGGCCCCCTACAACATGACTTTCGCTTTTGTTTCACATTGCAAGGAAAAGCTCTCCGAGTACGGACCTATCTAGGAAAATCTGGAGAAGGCACAGAAAAAGACATTGTGGGATTATACTGGAACACAAGAAAGGTCTAGAAAGAGAAGAAAAAAAGAGATGAAGAGAGACAGAGACAGGCAGAGAAAGGCAGATGTACCGGGACAGAAACTCTCTATTCGGTGGAACCGGAGAGAAGTATCGGGAGACTGGGACTCGGAGCGAGCCAGAGAGCCAGAGGAGACCCGGGGAGGAACTGTGAGCGTGCACCGGCTGCTCGGCCTCTTCATCGGTCTGGGCCAAAATCGTTCTCGTCGCCATGGCCGCCCCGGCACCCCGCCGGGGACCAACGATGGGAAAAGTTCTGAAATGGAGGCCAGTAGGATAATCGCATCTAATGGGAATGTTTGGAGAAAAACCTCACTATCCCCATTCTGGCCGTTATCGTTCTGGCCCTCTTTGGGCCACTTTGGGGGGCAAGAACGATTCTGGGTCGCGAGAACGATTCTAGATGGCGAGAACGATTCTGGGTCGCGAGAACGATTCTGGGTCTGAGAACGATTCTGGTCGCGAGAACGATTCTGCGTCACGAGAACGATTGTGCTCGCGAGAACGATTCTGGCCTGAGCCGGGAGCCAGAATCACCAGAAGCGGTCCGATTCCAGGGGCGAAACATAACGTGGACTGATCATATTCACTGGCTGCTCCGGCTTGCAGAGTGGATGCAGGCTGCCCGAATGCTTCAATTTTTCGCGCGCCCGTCTCTGAGTCTGGCCGTCGTGACACGGCAGGCTTCAATCCATGGAGTTTAGATCTATGACACTGGGAAACACAAAGCGGAGTGCTTCGTAGTGCATCTCGAAGTAATTCGCAATCAGTACCCGGGTTTCCCAACGATCGTCGATGATCAGCCACAAAGCTTCTTCTCTGTGCCACATTTCTCCAACATTGAATACAAAAGCCCACTCTATCATGTCGCGGCGGTCAGGGTCGGACTCGAGCCAAGGCCCGCCTACTTTCTGCTTCACGTATCGCTTCCATCGGGAGCGTTCTAGCCAAGGAATCCGCACGACTGTGGCATCTATCGGCAATGGGGGCATGGCTTAGAAGCTACAGAAGCATCACTCGCAAACAGTAGCTACAAAAAATTTGGAGCAAGAACGGCCGGCAGCAGAGCAGGCCAAGCAGCATTCACTGCTCCACACATCTATTTCCATGGGCCAGCAAAGGATCAAAGCAAATAGCTCCAGAGGCCGTCGTCATCGCAATATTTTTTGTGGCTGCCGCGGGGACGGACCGCGTCAAGACCCTCGGGCTATTCGTGCGATGACAATCCTCGTCCATGAGGCGAGTGTCCGGTATCGGACACTGAAAGAGACGCAAAGAGAAGCAGAAGGACAGCTCTGGATGGCTGAGACACGACATGTATGCATGGTGAGCACATCAGTCACCATCCGAGCTAGAGCCGGCGGAACTACCACTGCCCATTTGCAGAGTGGATCTCTTGGGCTGAGCCTGGGGAACCTCATGAGGCGACTGGGCGTCAGATGGCGGAATCTCACTGGGCTCAGGAACCCGAGGATGGTCATCATCATCATGCCCAAAGAGCTTGCGGGCATAATGCTTCGCGGCACGGTGCACGAGACCCTCCTGAGATCAACTGTTGCTGAAGCACAGACTGCAAGACATGCGCTCAGAGGTCCCCTATCTCTCAGTATTGAATACCTCGGATTGGTTGGAGCCGGGACTCCATGTCGGTACACAGAAACTTCAGAAACCGTTTGAGGCTTTGACGACCCATCCAGCTCATAGCCTGAACAATGTCACGGGATTTCTTTCCCATGGCATCTAGACACCATCCCTCTCTGAGAGCTTGCACAAACTCCTTGATGGAGACCTCGGGTAAACCAGGCAAAGAAACGGCCGGGTGTGCGAGTTGATGCTTCAATATGGATGGAAAGACAAGGACAGGAGAGTCAGAAAAACTATAGATGAAACCAGGTCGCCAAGCCATCCTCCGTGGCTGCTTGCAGGAAGAGCTCGGCGTCCTGCTTGGAAGCAAAGAAGCGGGCGAGGTCATCCTTCAAGAAATCCCGCAAGGTGCTGTCGGAGCCTGAGTTCTCTCCTTCACCGGTTGCAACAGGTGTCGCTCCCGGCGTCGTCTTGCCCGGCGTGCTCCCCGGGGTCGAGGTTTTCTTCTCAGTGCCGAAGCGGTCCTTGAAGAGGTCGTCGTCATCAGTCATCTGCCCCTCGCCATTTCGACAGCTTTGATCCCTCCACGAACCAGGTTTCTCTGCCTGCGTAAGGACAGCGCAGAGATGGCAGTGGCACAGGAGTTCGCAGAAGTACAACAAGTGTTCATCCTATGCAAGGGCAGCTACTCTGCTGCAGCGGCCTTGGGTCCTTTGACGTCCGATGCCCGAGATGACTTCTTGACCTTGTCTGGGGTTTGGCAACCAGGCGAGTCTTCCTCCTCCTCCAGCTGCTTGTCGACCTGGAGATTCCGGGTGGACTGCCGACGGATAATCCGGTTGGTCGGATCTCGCTCGCTCTTCTCATCCTGGCCAGCTTCCTTCTGCAACTCCTGGACCATGTTGTCAATGGCAGCCGTCCATGCCTTGACCTCCTCTTCCGCCTTGGCACGAGCGGCCTGGACCTCTGCATCGAAAGTCCTCATGGAGAAGCAGATAAACAAACACAAGCACTGAGAACGAGAACAGCACAACAGGATTTCAAGGTGTAGAGGCTCTCACACAAAGCATCTCTGCTCCTCCGAAGGCTACCAGCAGTCTTGTGCTGAGAGATCAGCGTCATGCCGTCCAAGCCGGTGACTGCCACAGAATACAGTTGAAAGGAAAGGAAGTTCAACAACACCCTAAATGCCAAGCCCTCACGAAACAGAGTCTGCTCAGAACCTAAACATAACATGACCCCGGCCTGCTTCAGTCAGCTTAAGAAGCCTATTCTTCCAATCTTGCTCGGCAGCAGCTTCGTTCTGCGTCAGCGTGACTTTCAATTTCAATCCCTCGGCACTGGTGTCCAGGCTGCAAGTCTGCTTGCTTCTCCGCCGCACCTCCCGAAATCATTTCGAGAGCTACAAATCGCAACAAGAGCTAGCAGTGGCTGAAGGAAGCAACTGCCAAGCACACTGGTAAAGTACAGAGCAAGATGAAGCCTCGAGCAGGTTGCCCCCCATCTTCATCAAGGCATTCTCCGTAAGCTGTGGGACGAGTCTGCTCACACTGGCTGCTAGCACTGCAGGCGGCAGGTCTGACAGCTTAGACATTTTGGCTTTGAGCTTCAGTGACTGAGCGTTCCTTGGACGGGTGGAAGCAACAGCCAGGAGCACTGCGATGACAGGCATGACAACACTGACACTCGTATTGCGTTTAAGGCTCAATCCAAATTCTGCCGCAGATGCCTCGAGCTCCGCATCCTGGGGATTCTCGCGCGAAGAAGAAGAAGACGAGCTTCTCCTCCGCCTCCTGTCCTTATCCTTCGACTTGCGATTGCTCTTGCCACCTTTGGGTTTTGATTTGCCCATGCTCTAATGGCTGGCGGCCTGCGATAAATGAAGGGCCTGTGCCTCTACTGTTGCACTGCCTATGAGTGACCCAGAGGCCAAAACTTCATGGCAATCAATGAAGTGCTTCATGAACAGACGGAAAGCAACGCCTCGCACAAGATAGCAAAAGTGAGACTCATGCCGGGCGAGCCTTTTGCATCCCTCTGGGGCTGAGCACGGTACGTCAGAAGGGCACTTCATGTGGCAACGAGAACTTCGCATCGCGAATGGGTTTTAGTGTGGAGTTTGAGAGAAAGGCCGTTAAGTTTAGGGCTCGAGATCAATGAAGGTTGGGGGTTTAAGGCTTAGGGTTGAAGGCTTAGGCCAGCCAGTCGAAACCAGTACTGCACTCGACAATGTAAACCACAAACCCCAAACACAGCCTGACCAATTTGTAATACGAATAATCGAAAACCCGATGCACAATATGTCACCCCGACAGCAGAAACCGGAATCAAATTTTCAGCACCATAGACCTATTCGACTTCTCAGCAGCTATTCATGGTTTTTCTAGAGATCAGGGTTTCAAGCTCAGGGTGGAGGGTTTTAAGGTTAAGGTGTTTCACGGTTTTTCAGGCGTGGGACTTGTATGGTTTAAAGGTTTCGGGATTCCACACTCGCACTCGGACACGAAAGGGGGTCAAGACTGGTGCAACGACCCGGAAAATCGGCAGGAATCCAATGAAACCAAAACAATGAGTCTGCGAAGCTCGCCTTCGCGAGCAGAAGGTCTCGGGATTATGGCGCACGGGTACCCAACACCATACCTATATTTACCTTGAATACAGCAAAGAAGCAAACAAGGCCGATCGTTTAAAGTCTCGGGATTAGGATGTCAGGTTTAAGGTTTACAAGGGTTTTAGGGGTTATGGCCAGCCAGTCCGAAACGCCTACGACAACGTAAACCGCACACCCCTAACATACCCTGATCCTAAATAAGCTAGAAAACGATGCAGCATACGGCACCCCGACAACAACAAAAATAAACTTGAACCGCTTAAACAGACCTACTCTGACTTCTTCTGCAACCGAACCAACCACAAAAAACAACAAACCCTAAACCCCAAGTTTCCACGGCACATCGAGGGAGCCCAGGTGCTCACCTCAGGGCTCGTTTGGGGCGGAAGTCGGAGACCAACACCCCTACCGGAAAGATCCCAGTCACGGGGTAGTGGTGTTTGCTTGGGGCCTATTTACGTTTTCGCAGTGTTCGTAGGGCATTGAGGGCTTAAGGCCCTGAATGGGTTCAGGGTTGTGTTGGGCGAAGGTGGTGTGGGGGTTTTGAGGAAAAGCAGACTATTGTTGCACAAAACGACAGACTAGGAGGGGATATAAGATTGGTTGCTTTGGGCTTTACCATGTACACTTCATCTTGAGTTCTATATAGGGTCGTCAGCTTTCAGGGCATGAATAGTTTCAGAGGTCGAGGCGACTATCATATGTGGGAGGGGAGGGGGCGCGGCAGGTGTTAACTAAATAATTCGTATTAGTTGATGCATTAGTATAAAAACTATGGAAGATTTCACCAAAGTACAACCATGAATGAGCTTCAATTTCGCAGCAGTGAAATAGAAACCCTTAATTCCGACAACCCTGAAAAGACAAACCACAAATACAGACAAGAGATAGAGCCACCCCGGGATTGCAGCACAGCAGCAAGGCAGGGATTAAAAACCGAAATGGTTCTGTTGGTTTTGTTGTGTGTTGTGAAACTACAGTGGACGCCAAAAACTGTTGGAATATAGGCACCCTGACATTCAGCACTCCATGAGCGAGCGCGTGCAAGTTCCAAATTTGGCACTATGTTCCAGCAACATTCTGACTGACTGGACCGGCCGGAAAACCAGCGTAATGTCATCAAGGTTGGGCCATGGATGATACGGACATCATTATGCTTGGAGGTGGGGGGGCACCTCTGGGGGGGAAACAACCTAACCTAGCACTAACCTAAACCCTAAGCCCAGCTTCCCCTGATTAAGGGACCTAAAAAAATATATATAACTACACACTGGGCCCTAAACCCTACGTGCCCGCCGACCCCTGTCTTGGGGAGCAAGGCACCCTAAACCCTAAGCCCGGTTTCCCCTAAAATTTGGGGACCTAGGCACATGCATGTGTCCTAAACCACCCTGAAAAAACCCTGAAACGAAACCACCCCCACACGCCAACCGCAACCCTATGAACCGGGGGTGGCGGGGGGCGGGTTGGGAGGGGGTTTGAGCCAACACAAACACGCCTATACAAACAAGCATGGGGAGGCGTCAGTGCTCGAGTGTGCGATTCAGGTCCTTTCGATCCATGCCATACCGCTGGCTAGCGATATGGTTGTGGGGTCCCCGTACACGTATCTCTCTGCAATACTGGAACGGCCGTAGTAATCAATTGGAATTTCCCTCTCTGCCCTGCTGGAAGGGTCGCAATATTTACAGTTTGTATCTCAGCTTGTATCCCTGCAGTACTGCAGGGGTCTTTGTAGTTCCAGTTTCTGTCTGTCTGCAATATTGGCAAAGGTCGCAATAATTGCATTTTCTTTCT